GCCCCCTCCGGCCGCAGCCGTGACCAGGACATTGGCTCGTCCGGTCGTGGCTGCACCTCTGAGGTCGAGCCCTGCGGCCTCTTTCAGAGACTTGAGAGCCGTGACGGCCGCAATGGGGAGACCAGCCGCTTCGGGTGCCGACACTTCAGGTGGTCTAACCACTGTTAGTTTCTCGCTCGCCACCGCGAATTCCGCCAGCCCTCCTCCGTTCTATTCACCGGAAAAACACACATTTCAACAATGCATATACATATACATACATATATATATATATATATGTATTTATAAGGTTATATAATAAGGATAGAAAGGGTATGTGAATTGTACGAGGAGGTCGAGAAGGGCAACGACTTTGTCGCCGGGTTTAAATTTCTCGACTCGTGGACCGACCATGACCACTTCCCCTGCAACATCCGTGCCTGTTCCGAGGAATTCCGACATTTAATTTAGAAGAAAAAAGCATTTGTGTACATTTTTTTTCCATTCTTGGAATATTTTTGTAATTTAAAACAATTATATATATATATATATATATATATCCAATGTACGACATGATACTTTCGTATGCGCCCACAAATTTTAAAGGGTTTCACAATTTTATAATTAATTTTTAACTATTTTCTAAAATTATTTATAATTAATTTTAATGGCCTATATACATAAAAAAAAAACAAATAAAAAATCCATCATAATATTTTGAACTAATTTTTTAATAGAAAAGGTAGTATAGTTTCCCAAGGTATTGTCTAATATTGTTACAGTAGTATTTTCATTTGAATTGAAAATTTATCATTATTTATATTAATTTTTATATTGTATTAAATATTATAAAACGAAATTGTAAATTTAGTTTTACAATATTTTTTAAATGTAAAATCTAAAAATTTTACTAATAATTTTTCAATAGATCGTGGAGGGTTCTATAAATATGAGTATATGACACGATTCTGTGTGTATATGTGTATATATCGAACATTCCATAAATAGATATTAGAGACATAAATAAATAAATAGTACCGGGTGTGAATGGAAATCTTTTGGGCAAAAATGGTCGGGCGACGCCTTTTTGAAGTTTCCAGTCAATGGGATTCAAGCTGATGGCTTCGACTTTGAGCAAAACCTCTCCGCTTTCAGGCGATGGAATCGGAATCTCCACATGCTGAGGGCACACATAACATAATACAACACATATATAAACATGATTATCTACCATGTTTAGGCTTATAATCACAGATTAGTTTGCAATCATCCAATTTTTTATTTATTTTTTAAAAAAATGGACAATTGCCTAAAAAATTACGATGTGCAAGAAATCTCCAATTCTGTATATATCTTTTATATAAAAACATAAAATTTATGAATCTTTAGACATATTCTCGCAAGATTCATAAGTTGATGATTTTATATAGAAATTACAAAATTCATTAACGGATATGTACGCATGTGACAACATCCAAAAAAGGGTTATAATTTTATATAAAAACTCTAAAATTGTAGATTTTATATTTTTATATTTTTTTTTAAAATGTGACTTTTTTACGCGATTGTCCTTTAAAAAATGAAAAGTGTGAAATTTTTAAACTTAGAAATGAACGTTCAAAATAAATTGTTTTATCCAACTGAACTACATACATACATACATACATACATACACATATATATATATATATAAATATATAACTATACAATAAAATAGAAGAGGTTTCACCTTCAAAGCGGTGGCTCCGCCGCCGTAGCGTTTGTACTGAACGGCTTTCATTAATTTTCCGACCATCGGAGCACCAAAAACAACAGTGACTCTGTGTTTGGTAATATGCGCAGAGGAGAATGAGTAATGAAACGAACGGTGTTTTATTTATACAGTGATCGTTTCATGCTGAAAAGTCCCCAGGGGTAAATCTGGAATTAAACATATTTGGTTGTGAAATTGCCACGTCAGCCGCCGGCTCTGTTGACGCAGTGGAAAAATATCACGTGGAGAAGTCGTCGAGTACACGTGTCAAATCGAAATCAAAGCACTGAGACGTTATGTTCTTTAAACCACTAAACAGTACTCTCTCTATAAACAAACGTTTTAGATTTTTAAAATATATATATATATATATATATCGAGTGTTTGGATCGATATGAAGCTCGATCTGAGCTAAGTTCGAAAGTCCGGTTTTTTTACCAAAAAAATTAGGTTCAAAATCCAAAATTTTTCGAGTGGGCTCGGAGCGGATTTCGAATTTCAAAACTAAACTGTTACTCTATTTAAAAGTTAATTTATTTAAAAGAAAAATCTTTAAAAAAATCTCTAATTTTCAAAACAAAAAAATATATGACATTCACGTAAAATTATGATTTTAAAATTTTTTCATGACCTTTATTAATTTTGTGATATTCACGTAAAATTTATAATTTATAAATTTATATAAAAATTACAAAATTAATAAATTAACAAATATGTGAAAATATGACAAGAATGATTAAATTAATGAATTTATATAAAAGTTATGGTGGTTTATTCGGATTCCGGATCGAGTTTGGTTCATTTATATTCGAGTTTGATTATTTCTTTTTACAAAATTGAAATTGTTTGGTTTTTATTTTGAATTTGGTTTGCTTTGCTTTGATTATGATAAAAATACACGTTTTCGAATTTGAATTCAGTTTTTTCAATTTTAAAAAGGTTATAATTATTCGAATTTATATCTAATTCAGTTTGATTATAGATATGTGTTATTCAGTTCAAATAAAATCGGTTATTCAGTTATTAACCAAATAAACTATTCCTAACATAAGTTATAATTAAAATTTGTGATTTTATCTTTTTTTTAATTCATGATTTTTTATATGGTTGTCCCTAAAAAAATCATGATATTGTTTTTGTATAAGACAGAATCTTAGAAACTTCGGATTCGGTTCGGGTATGATTATGTCCTATTCGGTTCGGTTCGGCTCGATTATTCGGTTAATAACATGGCCACCCTTATCATAAAGACTCAAATTTCATTTTCATCACATATCATTCACATTTCACGAAGTACCAGCTCCTAACGTATGTCTCCTTTTTTTTTCTCTTTGAGATATGTATTGTGTTTTGTCCTTGTACGGGTTGAATTTCGTATGTTACATACGTACACACGTACGTATACGTACATACACATTGATAACCCTAAGATTACCAATACCTCTCGAAAATCACTTGAAATGACGCATGATCTCTCACTCAAACCATGAAACGCGACCGCATCATCAAAGTCAGCGAGACAGAAAGCTCTATCATCGACAAAAATCACGAGGAGAAGAACAACAAGTAGAACAAAACGATGTCGATATTACACCACAACAAGAACCATATATATATAAAGAAAGAGAGAGAGAGAGGTTCAACCTTCAATCCGGCGGCTCCGCCGCCATAACGTTCCTATTGAACGGCGTGCATGAGTTTTCCGGCCATCGGCGACCTCCGATTCAAAGAGCTCGCCAATGCGTCCCCCCCCCTCTGGCTCGGTCAACGTACAAGTAGTGCTACAAAAACAAATCTCGCCAGCATGTACTTTTTTTTTGTCTGACCGTGAATATATATATATATATACACACATATGTATATATAACAATGACAATTAAAATTAATTGCCGACGAATTCTAGACTATTAAAAAACCCCAAGCTGTGGAAGGATTAATTTAAATATATACACTTGGATCCAACTGATTAATGTGAATATTTAATAAGGAAAAAAATACAAAATAAAAAAGTGGATCGAATTCTTCATTTGAACACATGTAATTAATGAATTTATGGATAGTTTCTTAATATCCAGCTTCATTCACATGGGTCTATCCTATTTTCTGAAAATTGTAGTTAGTGTGAAAAATATAATTGTACCGAAAATTAAATGAATTTTCGAATTATGAAAAAAAAAATTATGGGCATGCGAAAGCGCATGGACTGATATCAAGAGTTGATCAAAGCAAGGACAAACTCCGACCGTACAGATTAACGAAATGCCGACGTAATCGATATCCCTTCTGCTCAGGCAAACCCTTTTTAACGGCGTACAGTTAACGGTATCTGGAACAATACTTTCTCCGTTAACGCCGTCAAATCTAATGAAACCCTAGCTTCTGTTTAGACAGAGCAAAAGAAGTCTCTAGAAGTAGAAATCTCTCCCAGAGAACAAAAGACATTACTATTATATCGTTCACGGCTCGACGATGATCTTGCCGGTGGCATGACCGTCCATGCATTTGGCCCAACCCTCTTCGGCTTTGCTCAGTTCATGTCTCGAGTCGATCACTGTCTTGATCTTCCCTTCCTTCATCAGATTCACCATCGTTTCCAGATTCTCCGCCTTTGGGATCATTACCAGTGGAACCAGTTTCTTCTTCGATAGCGTTATCGTCTTCACCGCATAGTCCCACATCGTTCTTGCATCTGCATTGACGCATATAACCCTCCCGTTCTCGGACAATCTCGGCTCTAACCTCGAGAACGCGATCCCGTTTGCGCAGTGTATCACGACATCGTATTTTCTACCCGACGGGCTCGCGAGGGTGGCTCCTTCGGCCGTTGTGTAGTCGAGGACCTCGTCCGCTCCCAACGACCTGACAAGGTCAATGTTGCGCGAGCCGCAAGTGGCGGGCACGTGGGCATTCGCTAGCTTGGCCAGCTGGACGGGGTCGTTTGGGTCCGGGCCGTCGAGCTTGAGGCCCGCGGACTGGGTTATAGCCATCAGAGCCGTGAGACCAGCGATGGGTAGACCTGCGGCCTGGTGTGGCTGGACTTCTTCCGGCCTGGCCACGGTTCGGTTCTCGCTCACGACAGCGTATTCGGCAAGTCCTCCTCCGGTCTGTCATCATCGAAGAAGAGGATGAACAATCAAAATGGTTTATATTCTTAGTTCTATATTTATAAAAGATTATAAAACGACAAATTCAGCTAAAAAAAACACATTTAAAACTCTAAAAATTTTTAGTTAAAAACCCATTTAACAATTTAATCTCCTATAAGCAGACTATATTCATTTCTGTAACGCAAAAAAAAAAAAAAACTTACAAAGGGGTTGAAAAAGGCTACAACTTTGTCACCGGCTTTGAATTTATGGACTCCCGGTCCAGCTCCGACAACTTCTCCGGCAACATCAGTAGCTGTTCCATATATGTCCAAATATTCGAGAAATAAACCGAATTTCGAGAAAAACACATACACAAAATATGCCCAATAAGTATATTTCCGTAATAAATTTGTTAGAAATACCGGGAATGAAAGGGAACTTGCGGGGCATAAACGGGCGGAGTAACCCTTTCTGAATCTTCCAATCAGCTGGATTCAGACTAACTGCTTCCAGTTTTATCAGAACCTCGTCTCTCTTAGGCGACGGGATCGGAATTTGCACATGCTGAAATATCATATATATATATATCATACATATATATCATCTTATATATATATATAGAGAGAGAGGTTCAACCTTCAATCCGGCGACTCCGCCGCCATAACGTTCGTATTGAACGGCGTGCATGAGTTTTCCGGCCATTGGCTCTGCGTTTTACCGGCGGCGATCTCCGATTCAAAGAACTCGCCGATGCTTCCCCCCTCCGGTTCGGTTAACGAATAGTGCTACAAAAACTAATCTCGCTAGCATATCATTACTTGTACTTTTTTTGTTTGACCCCATATATATATATATATATATATATATATATATATATATATAACAATGACCATTAAAAAAACATTTTTTTTTTATCATATATGACTCTCCATCCACGGATCAAATTACTTACCGACGAATTCTACTATTAAAAACCCCCAAGTTGTGGAAGGATTAATGTAAATATATACACACTTGGAATTAACTCATAATGTGACTATTAATATATAATAATGTAACGGGTATTGAGAAATAAAATTTAAATATGAACGAAAACAAAGGAAAAAAATGGACCGGGATTCGTCATTTGAGCACATGTAATGAATGAATTTATGGGGCAAGGACAGACTCCGACCGTACAGATTAACTAAATGCTGACGTAATCGATATCCCTTCACCTCAGGCACAAACCCTTTTTGACGGCGCAGTTAACGGTATCTGGAACAATCCTCACTTCGTTAACGCCGTCAAATCTGATGAAAATCCCCTTCTGTTTAAACAAAACAAAAGAAGTCTCTAGAAGTAGAAATCTCTCCCCAGAGAAAAACCCAACTTTATAATCACACTTCCATTCCCACTCTTCGCAAAGCTCTTCTCTCTTTTGCTTCGGCGATTTTGGTTTGGGGATGGACGACGATTTCGAGATGCCACCGGTGGGTGGGATGAACGACGAGGAGATGGATTTCGGCGGCGATGATGATGCTCCGTTCCTGAAGGTCGGAGAGGAGAAGGAGATCAAGCAAGGTTTGAAGAAGAAGCTCGTCAAGGAAGGTGAAGGATATGAAACTCCCGAAAATGGCGACGAAGTTGAAGGTAACTGAAAATTCCAGTGATTTGGCTTTGTTGGCTCGTGAGATTTTGCCGAAGCTGAGGTTGAATCCTGTTTTTGCGTTTGGGGAAATGAAATGGGATTTTCTTCTGCAGTGCATTACACGGGAACGTTGATGGATGGTACGAAGTTCGATTCTAGCCGCGACAGGGGGACTCCGTTCAAATTCACTCTCGGACAAGGTGAGTGAAGAAGCCTCTTTTATTTTTCGGATTTTACGTGTTCTTTTGGTGAGATTATTTGGATGTCTGATATGTTATGACGAGTGAAATAGTCGGAACATCTTCGGAATCCTAGGACTTGTTGATGAATGAGATTCGTTTCGTGCTACTGTAAATATGTTGCTGGTTATTGTCATTGTCTGTTTGGGACAATCTTTAAAGTTATCTCATCTCTTGGACATTGATCGGTCGGGTGGCATAGTTATGTTATTTTGGCTCCACTCTCTTTGTTGCCAAGTCTCTTCCGCGATGTGTTTGTATAGTTTCTAGTGTAGATTTGTAGTGAATTCAATATTTTGAAGTGCTGTTTTTGGGTAAATCTTTCTTGCTAATGTCGGAGACGGATCTTTATGTTTGCAGGTCAGGTTATCAAAGGATGGGATATTGGTATCAAAACAATGAAAAAAGGTGAAAATGCGGCATTCACCATCCCTCCAGAGCTAGCATACGGTGAATCTGGCTCTCCACCGACTATCCCTGCGAATGCCACGCTTCAATTCGACGTGGAATTGCTTTCTTGGGTTAGCGTCAAGGATATATGCAAGGATGGTGGCGTGTTCAAGAAAATTCTTGCTGAAGGAGAGAAGTGGGAAAACCCAAAGGATCCTGATGAAGTTCTTGGTACCGTGCCCTCCCCCTTATTATGTTGCACCTCAAGGCTTGCTGTTGTTTGATTTTCTCTAACAGTTTTTTCAATGTATTTGGTGATTCAGTTAAGTATGTGGCTCGACTTGAGGATGGCACAGTCGTTGGAAAATCTGATGGCATAGAGTTCACCGTCAAAGATGGTTAGTGCTGGGATTTCTATTAGGGGATGATGGCATTTCACGTTTCTTGTCTTTTTCTTGTTTTCCGATCCTCACTGTGATTTGTCTTGGATAGATCACTTTTGCCCTGCAATCTCCAAGGCTGTCAAAACAATGAAAAAGGGAGAAAAAGTTCTTCTAACAGTTAAACCACAATGTATGTCGTCTGCCTCATTTCCTAGTTCTTGAGCTTGATGGGTATGTACACCGCCTCTAATACCGGTCTGCTTATAAATGAGACAGATGGTTTTGGGGAGAAGGGCAAACCGGCCTCTGGTGATGACAGTGCCGTTCCTCCAAATGCCACACTTGAGATCAATCTGGAGTTGGTTTCGTGGAAAACTGTGTCTGAGATAACTGATGATAAGAAGGTTATGAAGAAAACCCTCAAGGAAGGGGAAGGATATGAGCGACCTAACGAAGGGGCGGTTGTGAGAGGTTTGTACTTCTAATTCCAGAAATTACTGTTACGCAATTCATCTATGAAATATGTTTTTTATGGATCTCTTATTGTTTTTCGCAGTGAAATTGATTGGAAAGCTTCAGGATGGTACTGTGTTCTTGAAGATAGGCCTTGGTGAAGATGAGGAGCCATTTGAGTTCAAAACAGATGAAGGTAATGGTGTGCCTCTCTAAATTTTCTAGGACTTTTTCCTGCTGGCTGTAATCATGTAGGCTAATTTGGCTGAATACTTGAACAGAGCAAGTGGTTGATGGACTTGATAGAGCAGTGATGAAAATGAAGAAGGGTGAGGTCGCCCTAGTGACCATAGAACCAGAGTATGCCTTTGGCTCTGCTGAATCAAAACAGGAATTGGCAGTGGTTCCTCCAAACTCAACTGTTTGTTATGAGGTTGAGCTTCTGTCCTTTGACAAGGTTAGTGCTGTTTCTAGTGGTTTTCTTCTTCTTCTGATTTTATTTTCTTTAACTGCTTCTGGCAAATACTATTACAAGATCAAGAATCTAACTTCATGGTTGCTACTGAGATTTCAGGAGAGGGAATCATGGGACATGAATACCCCGGAGAAGATCGAAGCAGCTGGTAAGAAGAAGGAAGAGGGGAATGCATTGTTTAAAGCCGGAAAATATGCCCGAGCTTCCAAGAGATATGAGAAGGTAAATATTTTGATACCGCGTGCCAGTGTATGAGTGGATCAAACATTCTATTAAGCGTTGAATTCCGAATCAGGCTGTCAAATTCATCGAGTACGATTCATCCTTCAACGAGGATGAGAAAAAACAGGCGAAAGCATTAAAGGGGGCATGCAATCTCAACAACGCGGCTTGCCAACTGAAGCTGAAAGATTACAAGCAAGCCGAGAAAATATGCACTAAGGTAAGACATAAAAACCAGGACTGCAGTCTCCTCCACTGTTGTGGTACAAATCTGAGGTTAGCAAAAGAATGAGATAGTATTCTTTGTGTGTATGTATAGGTGTTAGAACTAGAGAGCACAAACGTTAAGGCTCTATACAGGAGGGCTCAGGCATATATTGAGTTAGCAGATTTGGACTTGGCTGAGTTTGACATCAAGAAAGCCCTTGACATCGATCCCAACAACCGGTATGTGTGTCTCTCTTACTCTTGTGCTATAAGATTATATGGTTCCGTTTCGTTCGGTTATGTTCTGTTCATTGATCCATCAAAATGAAACCATGTGCAAGTAGCAGAGGCAATGGTTTACTGATTTAACACAGTTCGCGAACTTTGCTTGTTTACTGGTTAATGCAAGTAGCAGAGGCAATGGTCCCCATTCTGGTCAAAGAAAAATACTCAAATCACCTTGATTTAGCCTAAATCGAATCTTGTGCAGAAACGCAATACCGGTTATGCCGTCCATCAGTCCTTTAATATTATTTTTGTATTCGATTCTTCTGATCGTTCGTTTCGGGGGGTTTTTTGCAGGGAAATGAAGCTTGAATACAGACGCTTGAAGGAGAAAATGAAGGAATACAACAAAAAGGAGGCCAAATTCTACGGAAACATGTTTGCGAAACTGAATGTGAGTTTCTCTTTAGTCTTTACCCCCGCTAAATCCCGCAAAACAATGTTGAAATCGAGGTTAATGGCAGTGTAGTTTAGTAAACCAACTTCATACATATCAGGAAGAAAAAACCCATTGGATTTTGTTTCTGTGTGTGAAAATTGGCATGTAGCGGTAGTATGTAGCTGGATAGTGGAGAAGATTGTGTTCATTAACGTTCTCATTCCGAACCTTAAACAAAAGTAGTATCATTTGGTAAAACCCGATCTCGATTTCTCGAAACGTGCAGAAGGAGGCATCGAAAGATCCCGAGCCAATGAGCGTCGACAGCAAGGCATGAGCACGTGTAAGTCTTGTTCTTGTTGGATCCCTCGAGTGTTTTTTCGGGTTTTGTCAGTTGTTTTCTGTTGTTGGTTCGGTGATGATGATGATTGGTGATGCATTGTCCTAAGAAATAATTTTGTGAAAACTTGAAAGATAATTTTTTTGGTTTTTTGATTCTAAAAACTCTAAAAACTCCGAACATCCAAGGTATGAGGGTTTCTTTGGCCTCTCATTTTCATCTAATGTAGAGAAACTTGAATTACAAGTTTATAAAGTGTCTCCTGTTTTTATTAAAAAAAATCTCATCTCATAAAATGGGTATATAATATATATTAAGGGTCAGTAATTCGGTTATGGTTAATTTCCGTTCATTTATTTGGGATTTAAAAAATGAATAATCAGAATCATTATTAAACATTTGCCGAACCTCACATAGAGAGAGCTCTTCATGGCCCATCAACACGGTTTTAGAATCTAAAATTTCAGGCCCATTGATATAACAATGAACGACGGTTCACGGTTCACCAAACGAAAACCGGTCATAACTTCCAAAGTGGACTGCCGCGCCAAAAAAAAGTCAAACGAAATTTCCTCCTTCTAGAAGCCCCTCGCCTCCAAATCAGACGCGGTTCAAAATCAAAATCCCAACCACCACGGTATCAACGTCATCAGTGACGTAATCCCTTCTAACACGACACGTGTCAACATCACACGGCGCGAGACCTTTGCTTCGAACCCAGCGAAACGTCTCGCGTTGTTCTCAGAAGGGCAAAACGGTCAAATCACAGCAACCAGGGGGTTTTCTTTTTCTTTTTCTGTTTTTTTTTTAATTGTTTTCTGTTTTTTTTTTTTGTTCGAAGCCTTTCCCGGCAAGGCAAATGATGTGGGAGAGCCCTTCGTTCAAAGTTGAAATAGTTTTTTGTTGACATTATAAAAAGTGGCCGAAAATATGCAGCGACGAAAAAGTACAAAGTGGAAGCTGTTGTGCCGAGAGAAATGGAGGAGAATCCGCCCAACGCATGCATTTCTATATTCCCGGCGATTCCCGACGGCGGCGGCGTGCGGAAGCCTCACCATAGCCCGATCCGAAATCTGGATTTCGATCGGTTGAATGTTGTATCGGCGTTGGGCCGTGGTGCCAAGGGAGTGGTGTTCCTGGTGAGAGACTGTGGAATTTCCGGCGAGTCTTTGGCTTTGAAGGTTATACTGAGGGAATCGATCGAGGGGAAGAGGAGAAAGAAGAAGACGAAGGGAGAGAGCGAGGATGGAGATGGAGATGAGTATAGGCGCGTGAGTTTCGAGCAGGGAGTGTTAAGCCGATTCGAGCATCCTCTGTTTCCTCGCCTCCGCGGCGTTTTAGCGACGGAAAAAGTCGTCGGCTACGCCATCGATTATTGCCCCGGCCGAGATCTCAATTCGTTGAGGAAGAGGCAGACGGAGAAAATGTTTTCCGACGAGATTATCAGGTGATTGATCCTCACCATGTCTTCGATAGTTTTGAATTTGAATTTCCGTTTGAATTTTTTTTTCCTGGTAATCTGAATTCCCATCCACCCTTTATGGTATGAAACAGCGTGCGATTTTGAATTTCCTCTAATTTGAATATGTTTGTTTCCAGATTTTACGCAGCAGAACTGGTACTCGCATTGGAGTATCTTCACGATCAAGGAATCGTTTACAGAGATCTGAAGCCGGACAATGTGATGATCCAAGAGAACGGCCACATAATGCTCGTCGATTTCGATCTCTCCACGAAACTCCCGCCGAGAACGCCGCAACAGTCATCGCCGTCGTCTGCTCCACTCACCGCAAAACCTCCGACGGCGAAGAGACGGTTCTTCCCCTTCCACAGGCTCTGCAACTCGGGAATCTCGCCGGACGAGTCAGTACGCGGCGGTGACTCAGCGGTCGCGCCGGAGTCTGACTCGTCGGGAGGGAAGTCGAACTCGTTCGTCGGAACAGAGGAATACGTAGCTCCGGAGGTGATCTCCGTCGACGGCCACGACTTCGCCGTCGACTGGTGGTCGCTCGGAGTGGTTCTCTACGAGATGCTGTACGGAACGACGCCGTTCAGAGGGTCGAACAGGAAGGAGACGTTTTACAACATACTGACCAAACCGCCGGATTTGGTGGGGGAAACGACGCCGTTGAGGGACCTCATCAGAAGATTACTGGAGAAGGATCCCAGCCGTCGGATCACGGTGGAGGGAATCAAGGGCCACGATTTCTTCAGAGGTGTGAATTGGAATCTTGTGCTTTGGGTATCTCGACCGCCGTACATCCCGTCACCGGAAAACGGGGAAAACGACGGAGTTACAAAAATCGACGTCGAGAATTTCGTCGAAGAAGTATTTTCTGCTCGCGACGATAACGGTAACGATAACGGAGAACAAAACACTAAACATAACACTGATAGAAATGTAGATGAGAAAAACACGGCGAGGGTTAAGGAGGGTTTGGTAGATAACGAGTTCTTGGTATTTTGATTTAATTTAATTCATTTCGAAATATTCTTTTGGTAATTAATATACATTTACATTGAAATGGACTTCAATATTCCATCACACCCCCTTTTGAATCAATTCTTATGATACTCTCGTTTAAATTTCATCTGGAATGTGCTCGAACATCATATATATATATATATATGTATATGCTAAGTTTCTCAAGATTTCTAACAAATGGGCTAATCTAAAAATAGCCCAACAACATGTAATGAATTGGACCGACCAAACCCATTTAATGAAATAATTATTATTGATTTTTATTAAAATTTGAACATATCCTAAACAATCATCATCACCGTTATTATTTTGTAAACATATCTTAAACACTTAGGAATAAATAGATATAGATATGGGCATTTATTGGTCTCGACACTTGGCAAAGGAATCTGAAGAATCTCAAACGAGACATTCAATAGGCAACCGCCTGAATACATGCATGCATGATGCTCACAACTCTCTCTCTCTCTATACACACATACACACGCATATCTTTACATATATGTGCGTGTGTATGTGTTGGTTGTTACTATTTCATTTCATTTTGCAATTTCTCTTTTTTCATGTATATATATAGAGAGAGAGAGAAAGTAATGGCATGTTGTATGTAAAGGCACAAACTTTTTTTTTTTTGATAACCGGGTAATCCTCAGACTAATTCCGATCCACACGCACAACCGGCACCACACGTGTGAGATGTGAAATATCTGAAGGTGGCCGGAGGGGAAATCTCTATACCCTGAATGTTGAACCCACGACCTCTTGTTCAGGAAGTGAGCTCTCAAACCAACAGAATTGGGGAAAATCCCCCAAAGGCACAAACTTTGCAATCTACATTCATGAAGCTCAATCCTTTCGGCAAAATATATGTGGAAAAATGCAAGATTTTATTCTTATTCAATCTGTGATGTCTAAAACCATAAAAGACTTTGGATTTGTTGAGCTTTAACTATTATGAGATTAGTGTTTGTGTATATTTCTCAAACTTTGCAGTTAATTTGATGATATGATGCATATAATTACTAAAAAAATAATTTCTATGCGAATATATATATATATGCTAAAATGGAACAATAGTTTAACAAAACGCATTTTTGGAATAGCAAGTGGTATCCAAGCTTTGTTAAGATTAATCTAATTTAGAAAAATATCAAAAACTGTCATTAGTTTAGAGATTTTCCGACAGATGGACATTTCAGATTTTTTGTTGGATTATTTTCTTCCAAAGTTGGACATTTAAAATCTTTTGCTGGTTTATTTTCTGTTTCAATTTTTTATTTTGGGAAAAACCATATTCATTTAGTTTTAATATTAAATTTATTTTTAAAAAACATTCTTTTTATTAAAAATATTAGTTTTTAAATTCGTTATTGTTATTATTTTTATATTCGAATTGAATTTAATTAAATTTTAATTAATTTAAATCTTAAATATTTATTTACGTTAATTTTAAAACTTTGGATTCAATTAAACGGTTCCCGATATATTTATATATTATTCAATTTGTTTTGGTTCTATCTTTTTTTTTCCCCAGAAATATCTATTCAACATCGAGATATTTTCCTGTTTAGTAAATGTTAAAAAAAAACAATCTCCCATTACATATCCCTGATTTTACAGCAAAGATTAGTCTTTTTTTTAAAAAAAAAAACCAAACAAATAAGGAACAAAACTGAATGCCGAGTCCAAAAAATGTCATTAAATATGCATTGACCATCTGTTTTGTCTTAATCTTAATTAAAAAAAATATAATTCCTCTTTATCTGTTCCACATATTTTTTCTGCCTATAAAAACAAATACCCAACAACCCTCAATTTCTTCAAGCCCTCCCCCCTCTTCACCTATACACACACTGATTCAGGTACCCATCACCATATATATATTCTTTTGCATATATATACTTACATGCACACATTGTTTTCGTATATATCTTCAATTATGGACTTATTTCATTGATTTTTATCTTTTTTTTTTCTTTCTATGTTTCATTTCTAATCATTATTATTTTTTTAATTTCAATTTGACTTTGTGGTGGAAGCTATAGAAATGGAGGATGAAATGAAGGAAAGATTTGAAGATTGGAGAGGAAGAGAGGCGGTTCCTGAAAAACATGGAGGAATCCGAGCTGCAACTATTGCTTGTGGTAAAAAAAAAAGAAGCTTTTTACTATATGAAAATCTCTATGTTTATTATACAATTAAAAAAAAGTTTTTTTTTTCCAAGTATTGCTTGTGGTAAAAAGTTCTATACTTTATGAAATCTCTGTGTAGTGTACATACACTAAAAAAAAACTTTTTTTTTTCTTCAAGTATTGCTTGTGGGATAAAAAGTTTGATACTTTATGAAATCTCTATGTACATACACTAAAAAAAAGTTTTTTTTTCCAAGCATTGCTTGTGGTATAAAAGTTTTATACTTTATGAAAATCTCTATGTTAATACACTAATTTTTTTTTCAAAATTGATTTTTCTTTGTTTTTAATTGGTTTTATTTTGTTTTAATGTGAAAATGCAGTGGTGGAGATGCTAGAGAACTTGGTGTTCTTGGCGAATGCGAACAACTTCGTGACGTATTTCATGAAATCGATGCATTATGGATCGGCGAGATCGGCGAACATGGTCACGAATTTCATGGGGACGTCTTTCCTGCTCACCCTCTTCGGCGGTTTCGTCGCCGACTCTTTCCTCACCAGATTCACCTCTTTCGTCCTCTTCTGCTCCCTCGAGATCCTGGTAAGACCCGGAAAATGCGGACGGAAATATCTCCCCGCAATCCCGTCGCAAAACCAAATTTGCCACGGAAAACGGCGGACAATTTCCACCGGTACAACGCTGTCACTGAAAAGAAACGGTGGCAGATCCATTAACGGCATGGACGGACCTAGAAAAATATTTAAAAGGGATACAAATTTAATTTCAATATTTTAATATGGGATATTTAGTAAATATATATAATCTTTTTTATAAAATTATAAAAAAAAATTATAAAAAAATAATATTTTTTTTATTAGATCAATGGGGGCCTCACCCGTACTGTATTGGGTCTGCCCGTGGGAGGAAACTCTTCCGTCCACACGTAATAGCAATCGCAACGGAAAATCGTCGGATGCTGGAATCGTAGAATTTGCGACAAATTGCGACGGTTATCGACAAACACACGTTACACATATGTACATAATTTACGACGCATCGACGATGTTACAACCCGTCGAAATCGCGTCTTAATATAGACCACGGATAATTAATTCCGTATCAACCCGTCGCAAAATTTCTCGACGGATATTATCCATCGCGGAACTTCAATCTCATAGTCGCTGTCCGCCGCAAGTGTATTGTGACGGACAATACGCTATCCGTGACAGTGTGAAACCAAGTTTTCGACAATTTGTGACAGAGATTTTATTCCCTCGCCTTCCGTCGCAAACGACATCGCATTATGCAGTTTTTCTTGCAGTGATCCGATATAATTTTCTGTGAATATATATGTATAGTTATTGAAAATCATGCAATGCCCATGTTTTTGGTTTAGGGTCTAATCTTGCTGACAGTCCAAGCTCATAGCCCTAAACTGCAACCACCGCCCGAGAAAACGCCTTCGGCCCTTCAGTCAGCGTTCTTGTTCACCGGCCTTTACGCCATGGCCGTGGGGGTTGGAGGGGTGAAAGCTTCGTTACCTTCCCATGGAGGCGACCAGCTTGACAACAGAAACCAGAGGCTGGTTTCTGGTTTTTTCAACTGGTACTTCTTCTCTCTCTGCAGTGGCGGTTTCTTTGCTGTTACTGTCATGGTGTGGATCGAAGAGAACAAAGGATGGAACTGGAGCTTCAATATCTCGCTGGCGATTCTCGCTTTCGCTCTATGCATCTTCTCCTCGGGTTTTCCGCTGTATAGATTCAAGCGGCCGAGCGGAAGTCCGCTGACAAGAATCGTCCGAGTGATTGCTTCCGCCACAAGAAACCGAAAAGGATCTGCGATAGATGCAGAGATGGCTAAAGATCGGAACTCTACAGTCAAGAACATTCATCAGGACAAGTTCAAGTTAGTGTTTTCGATCCGTAAAGGCTTCTGCTTTTCACAAGAACATGGATGACAAGACGATATCTAACCCTAATTTTTGCAGGTTTCTTGACAAAGCGCTGCTCGAAGAGAAGATCACCGCGGTGGAAGTCGAAGAAACGAGAACGTTTCTCGCTCTATTACCGATCTTCGGGAGCACGATCATGATGAACTGCTGCTTGGCGCAACTGACGACGTTTTCCGTACAACAAGGCGTGATCATGGACAGAAAACTCGGCCGTTCCTTCGAGATCCCCGTCCCTTCCCTAACGATCATCCCTCTCTCAGTCATGCTCTCCTCAATACCCTTGTACGAATTTTTCCGCGGCCGCCATGGAAACTCGCTAGCCTCCTCCTTCTTCCAACCCTTGAAACGAATAGGCCTCGGCCTCGCCCTCTCGTCAATCTCCATGGCCGTAGCAGCGGCCGTAGAGGCCAAGAGAAGGTCCGAGGCCGTTCACCGGAACGAACCCATCTCGGTCTTCTGGTTGGGGTTCCAGTATCTGTTCCTGGGCGTGGCCGACATGCTGGCACTCGGCGGCATGCTCGAGTTCTTCTACAGAGAGGCTCCCGACAGGATGAGGAGCATCAGCACCGCCTTGTCGTGGAGCTCGACGGCAATGGGGTTCTTCCTGAGCTCGGTGCTGGTCGAGCTGACCAATGCGGTCACCGGCGGGTGGCTCGGGGGCAAGGATCTGAACAAGGCGAGGTTGGATCTGTTTTATGTCGTGCTTAGTGTTCTTAATACACTTAACCTCTTTAATTATGTCTTCTGGGCAAAGAGGTATTAGTTTGTTAGTTAGTTAGGCTTGTTGTCTGTGTGAGTGAAGATATGTTTTATTTGTGTGTTTAGCGTGTAATTAAGTAAATGCTATTATTATTAATTTGTTTTAGTTTATTTGAATTTGTCCTTGGTTATGCTTTATAATAAAATTTAGTCGATGGATGTGCTTATTTGGTTGATATAACCGAATAATCGAATCGATTGGAATAACTGTAATCGAATCGAATTAGATATAAAATCGAATGTTTATGAATTCTTTACAACCCAAAAAGGCGAACTCGATCTGAATCGAACGAAAAAGTAAATGACAAAATCGTAAAATTTATTTTAAAAAATGAATATTTTTATCATAACCAAAATGAAATGAATTCAACATAAAAGCCGAACGGTTATAACTTTTCTAAAATTGAAATAATCGAATTCGAGTATAACCAAATCGAACTCGGAGCTAAACGTGAAAGATAGACCAAACACAGTTCAAGAACAGAACATGAAGCCTGTTGCACGAAGATTATTAGAGCAATGAACATAATTGTTAAGGTATTTGTTATTTCAATCCCAAAATTCATGTTTTTTTTAAAAGATATTTTCTCGGTAATTTCGGGTTGGATGTATAAAACAAATCAAACTGAATAACAAGTAATAAAAACACTATTTAAAACCCGATTAATCATAACTATTTTTTTTTAAATTTACCGATTACAAATCAAATGTGTATCGAATATAAAAATAATTAAAAAAAGGAAATAAAATATTTTACGGTATAAATGATTTTCTTAATAAAACCGAATGAAAAATAAACTCGATAAAAATCCAAAATAGCTCAAACCCAGAATCAAATGAACATTTTTTTTTCAATACTATAAAAATTAAAGGCCAAAATAACTCAAACCCAGAATATCTAACCCTATCTCTTATTAATTTAATAAGTAGATGATAGATATCATCTTTTATTGGTTTTATAAAACCAAAGAATCATATAAAAATTAATTAAAGGCTGATTTAAAAAGAAAAAAAAAAGAGTTAGAGAAGAGAAAATGTGTAGCTCCGCTATAATTATGTGACTATAAAAAGTAGTAACAACATTTTTATATAAAAAAATATTTTTAATCTCATTAAGAAAACGAAACATATAAATGAGCCATCATTTCATTTTTTTTTCTCTCTTTTGTATAATTCGTTTTTTTTTTTTTGGTAACTTCTTTTGTATAATTCGAATCAACACAAAAGTGAATATACGCATTTCGAGTAATGAATTTGGTCCGTGAATGAAGTGATGTAACGTTTTGTGGAGAAAAAAAAACACATCTTTAATTCCAAATTAGCTTAATTTGTATAAATATCAAAATAAAAAATAGAAAATATATAGATAACTCCAGAGAATGCAAAAAAAAAAAAAAAAAAGCTTGTGAATTTGTAATCCATTTAAAAGATTCCCTTGATATATAATCCACATAATTAAATGTAGTGTTATCTATAAAATTAATCAGGATCTAATTAATTTATGTGAAAAATGTTAAAATCCTTTTATTTATTTTTTTTGGGGTTGGTGGGAAGACAACTTTTACCAATGTGGCACCAATTAGTGTAAAAAAAAAAAAAATTTAGGATAATATAGTATTAATTTACATAATTAAGAATTTGGTGGGTTTGATGTAATTACCTGTCGAACATGGATTTAGTTCCTTTTTTGGTATTTATACAATAAATTATTCTTCCTACTCTCTCTCTCTATACACACACACACATCTCTCTATATATACAACACCCATCTGCCCTTACTTTCTAACTCTTGATTGTTCTTCATCACCCACTGGTAAGAAACCCTAATTACACATGCATATATATATATATATATATATATATACAAACTGTGTATATATATGTTCAAATGAATATTTTATAGATTATGTTGTTGCATAGGAAAATGGAGAGTGAAATAGAGGAGGAGGGGTTTGAAGATTGGAGGGGGAGAAGGGCGATTCCTGGGAAACATGGCGGAATCAGAGCTGCTGCCATTATTTGTGGTATTTTTTTTTTATTATTATCACTTTAATCTCCTCTTTTGTCTAATCACAGAGAAAAAAATTTCAAAATATTACTTGTGTAGTGAGATACGACATTAGGAATTAATTTCAGTTTTTTTTTTTCTGGATAATTATAAATTTATTGAAATTAAAAAGATATATGGTAAATATAGTAAATAAAACTCTACTATTATATAATTTGATATATAATATTCTACTGGTGGGCAATATGATATTATTTTTTTAATTCAATTATCCAAAATTTTCAAACCATATTTTTTTTAGAGAAAGGAATTTTAAAATAACCTAAAAACTAAAAATCTCTTAAAAAGTATAATTATTTTTTTAATAAAAATTAAAATCGAATATAATATAATATCACAGTGGTACATGTTTTTATAGATGGAAAGAATCCAACTGAATAAATACCAAATCAAATCCAAAAGGAATACAGATGGTTCGAGTTGATTGAAGGAAGTTGTATTGAATAAAATTCATTATTAATTTATTTTGTGAAAATGAAATGATGTTTTTCTTTTTCCTTTTTAAATATATGATTTGACGGTTTAGGATTTTTTTTTTGCATGTATATAATGATACCTTCATTATTATACTCTAGGATTGCAGAAAACATAGTACGTTACGTTATATAATATATAGTATATATATAGATATATATCTATATAGGAATAATCGCATAAAAATACCCGAGATTTTACAAAAATCTCAAATAAATATCCAAACTATAAAATTGTCATATGATTACCTAAACTTTTCTAAATCAAACATGCATCTATTAACGTCGTTAAATGCAACTACTGACTCAAAAAAAACTGCTGATTCAATAAAAAAAATTGTGGACTCAAGCTAAAAACTACTGACTCAACCATATATATATATATATATATTCCACTGTAAAAGTTGGGCATCTTGATTTATTTTTGGTAAATAAAGACCCATATAACAACAAAGGCGAATGCATAACAATAAGCTCTAAAAATACCTTCATTAGAAATGCAGTCGGACCAACTTTATTTGAATAAATTTAATGAAAAATGACATTTTTTTTCTTTTAAATATTTTTTTTTGGGCAGTCGTGGAGATGTTGGAGAACATGGTGTTCATAACAAACGCGAACACGTTGGTATCGTATTTCATCAAGACGATGCATTACTCGGCGGCCAAATCAGCGACAATGATGACTAATTTCTTGGGCACTTCCTTCCTGCTCTCCCTCTTTGGCGGCTTCATCGCCGACTCCTTCCTCACAAGATTCGCCTCTTTCATCATCTTCTGCCTCATTGAGATCATGGTAATTAGGGTTCTATCGCTTTCGATTAGGGTTGGACACGGATCGGATAACGTGATTTTCGGGATGTTTTAAAACTTGATCCTGAATCCGAATATTCGGATACCCAAATTATATTATCCGCGAGATAATTTTTTTGATATCTGCTGTTATCCAAACCCGGCCGATTTTTAAAATATTTTGATTAATAATTCATAAAAATATAGATTATATTCAAATAATTTATAAAAACATTAAAAATTATATTTAAAACATCTACATCATAAAACGATAGCGTTTTTTTTTATATATAAACAAAGGTAAAAACATTGAGATATATATATATATATATATTTATATTTATGATTTTCTAATAACTAAAATGTGTAATAATTATTTTTCTATTATTTGGTAACTAAATCCGAAAATATCAAACTTTGGGTTTAAACATATTAAAATTTGATCTCTATCTTATTACAAAATAGATATTCGGTTTATAGATACATGACTCTCGGGTCGAGACGAGTATCCGAAATTTTGGGTATTTTTTGCCTGACCCTTCTTTTACCTCTGACCATCTCCTTAATCTTAATTAACATAGACCCATTTTTTTCTGTCACAGGGTCTGATTCTGTTGACAATCCAAGCCCAAGTCACCAAACTCCAACCCCCACCTTCCGAAACACCTTCACCTCGCCAGGAGGCTGTTTTATTCGTCGGGCTCTACGCGTTGGGTCTCGGGATAAGCGGAGTAAAACCCGCTCTCCCGGCTCACGGAGGCGACCAGCTTGACAGCAGAAACAAGAGCCTGATCTCTGCATTCTTCAACTGGTACTTCTTCTCCATCTGCATTGGAGGTCTTGTGGCTGTATCCGTTATGGTGTGGATTGAAGAGAATGTGGGGATTAGTTGGAGCTTCAAGATCTCGGTTGTGGTTCTCGCTTTGGCCCTCTCCGTTTTCGTTGGAGGGTTCCCCTTCTATAGGTACAAACGCCCCGGCGGGAGCCCGTTGATGAGAATCCTCAAAGTGATTGTTTCGGCCTCAAGAAACCGAAAAGGGTCTCTCCTAGATGCAGGGCTGAAACAGAATCTGAATCCTGAAAACAAGAGCATTCATCACAACAAGTTCAAGTAAGTGTTCTACCAAGAATTAGACCCTCATGAACATATCTAATCACCCATTTCAGGACAGTAATCAAACAATCAGATCATACATGGAGTAAAGTTCGAACCTTTACAGTGATTGTCTTCTTCTTTTCTCAAGAATTAGATCCACGTGCAGTTTCAGGACAGTAAAGTTCGAACCTTTACAGACATTCAGTGACCAAAAACCCTTCATCTAAAAACAGGTGTCTGGACAAAGCTTTGCTCGACGACGAGATCTCTGCAACAGAAGTCGAAGAAACGAGAACGTTCCTGTCTCTCCTACCGATCTTCGCCAGCACGATCATGATGAACTGCTGCTTGGCGCAGATCTTGACGTTCTCCGTACAGCAAGGCGCAGTCATGAACAGAAAGCTGTCTCCTTCGTTCGAAATCCCCGTCCCTTCGCTCACCGTCATCCCGGTCGTGTTCTCACTCTTTTCGATACCCTTGTACGAGTTCTTCCACCGGAGAATCTCCGGCCAAAACCCAGCGATGGACCTCTTCCAGCCATTGAAACGCATCGGCCTCGGCCTCTTTGTTGGTTCTATTGGTTCAAGTCCGGTACAGAAAATGTTGGTTCAAGGACCGGTTTAAGAAACTAAAATGGATTGATTTACAGTTTGTATGTTTCAGTTTTTTAGGATAGTTATTAGTAGTGGTTTGTGGTTTTATGTAACTTCTATTAGCAGTTTTTTATTTTGTTTTTTATAAATACGTGTATGGACATATGTGTAGAGATGGAATGAAGTGATATTTGCAGAGAAATAGTTCTTGTTTTTATGTCTTCCTTTAATTCAAAGAAAGAGTGAATTGAGAGAGAGAAACACTCTTTGAGAGGAATTAAAAGGAAGATAACAGTGGTATCAGAGCGTTTTGAGGTCTTTCTGGGATCTGTGGATCGAACATGGATCAATCTGAAAATTCGGTGAATTCGGCTTTAAACATGGTTGCCCCGATCTTCGACGGGGAAAACTATGAGGTTTGGGCCGTCAGAATGCAAGCGTTTATGGAGGGTGCCGATCTTTGGGAAGCTGTTGAGGAGGATTACGACGTTCCTCCATTACCGGTAAACCCGACGACAAACCAACTTAAGAATCACAAAGAGAAAGTGATGAGGAAGGCGAAGGCGAAATCGTGCATGTTTGCTGCAGTTTCTCCCTCAATCATGATCAAGATTATGAAGCTTCAATCGGCGAAAGGTATGTGGGAATTTCTGAAAAAGGAGTACGAAGGGGATGAAAAAATTCGAGGATTGAAGGTTCTGAATTTGCTGCGAGAATTCGAACGACAGAAAATGAAGGAAAACGAGTCTGTGAAAGATTATATCGATCGTCTTGTCGATATAATCAACAAGGTAAGAATTCTTGGCACCGAAGTTGATGATGTTAAGATTGTGCAGAAAATTCTGGTTTCTATTCCGGAAAAGTTTGAAGCAACGGTGGCATCTTTGGAGAACACTAAAGACATGGCGAAAATCAAATTGTCAGAGGTTCTTTGTGCCCTTCAAGCGCAAGAACAAAGGAGGTTTATGAGAAAGGAGGAGTCTATGAGAAAGGATGAATCGGTGGAAGGTGCTCTAATAGCAAATGCAAAAATAAATTCTACAGGAAATGAAAAATTTGGTGAGCAATCCATTGAATCGTGCAAGCATTGTGGTAAGAAGGGTCATCCACATTGGAGATGTTGGAAAAGACCCGATGTTAAATGCAGGAAATGCAATAAAATGGGGCATGTCGAGAAGATTTGCAAAGAAAAGAATACTGAAAATGTTGAAATTGAAGCGAACAAGGCTGAAGAAAGTGAAGTGGAACAACTCTTTTGATTGACATGGTTGAGAGACATTGAACCAAGGAGGAGTGTTGGTTCTATTGGTTCAAGTCCGGTACAGAAAATGTTGGTTCAAGGACCGGTTTAAGAAACTAAAATGGATTGATTTACAGTTTGTATGTTTCAGTTTTTTAGGATAGTTATTAGTAGTGGTTTGTGGTTTTATGTAACTTCTATTAGCAGTTTTTTATTTTGTTTTTTATAAATACGTGTATGGACATATGTGTAGAGATGGAATGAAGTGATATTTGCAGAGAAATAGTTCTTGTTTTTATGTCTTCCTTTAATTCAAAGAAAGAGTGAATTGAGAGAGAGAAACACTCTTTGAGAGGAATTAAAAGGAAGATAACACTCTTCCTCGCCTCCATTTCCATGGCGGTCGCAGCTTTCGTAGAGGCCAAGCGGCGGTTCGAAGCGGTTAACCACAACGTCAGCATCTCCGTCTTCTACCTGGCGGTTCAGTATCTTCTGCTGGGTGTCTCCGACATGTGCACGCTCGGAGGCATGCTCGAGTTTTTCTACAGAGAAGCCCCTGAGAGGATGAGGAGCATTAGCAGCTCGCTGTCTTGGTGCTCCAATGCGATGGGTTTCTTCTTGAGCACCATACTGGTCGAGCTCACCAATTCCATCACCGGCGCGTGGTTTGACGGCGGCGCGTGGCTCGGAGGGAGGGATCTGAACAAGGCGAGGTTGGATTTGTTCTATGCGGTGCTTAGTGTTCTTAATACTCTTAACCTGTTTAATTACATTTACTGGGCCAAGAGATACTGATCATGATCATGATGTGATGATGATGATGATCATGATCATGATGAAGCGTGATGAAAGTGTGGTCCAAATGCTTTGGTGTTCTTAATTTTGTCTAAATTTCGAAAATATAATTATTAATTATAAATATGAGGTGCCCAAAAACTGATATCTTTTATCGTATCTGAATTTTATAAATACCAAAATCCTTTTCTGATTGGAAATATATTACATCTAATTACAGATTATCCGTCAATATTCTATAATCACATACACAAAACTAATTATACACTAATTAAAAAAAAAACTACGCAAAAAATACAAAACATTCCATTGGCTGGTCTACTATTGTCCCGTACAGACGCACACAGAGTAAGATTATGCACCACTAGGACCTATTTAACGGTGAGTTACAACACTTGGAAAGAAACCTTCTCCTCCATCAATGGCGTCTCCCGCCGGGATTTCTCTCTTCTCCTCCTCTTCCTCCTCTTTCGTCGCCTTCTTCCTCTGGGTTTCGCTAATCTCACCGTCTGTCTCACTTACATGTACGTCACAGACATTCTCCGGCAACGCCATGTACCCTCACTGCCTCGACCTCCCTTACCTCAGTGCCTTTCTCCACTTCTCCTACGACGCCGGAAACTCGACCCTCTCCGTCGTTTTCTCTGCTCCGCCTTCTATGCCCGGCGGATGGATCGCCTGGGCGATCAACCCGACGGCGAAGGGAATGGCCGGAGCTCAGGCTCTCGTCGCGTTCAAGGACCCTGAGACCAGCGTCGCCGTCGTGAGGACTCTCAACATCAGCTCCTACGATGTGCTTGTTCCGGGGAAATTAGGGTTCGATGTCTGGGACACGAAGGCGGAGGAAGACGGCGGAGGGTTGAGGATCTTCGCGAAGGTTAAGATTCCGGCGGATTTGGCGGCGAAGGGGAAGGTGAATCAGGTTTGGCAAGTGGGTCCCGGAGTGTCTCAGACAGGGTTTATTCAGAAGCACGGTTTCGATTCGCCGAATCTGAACTCGGAGGGAACGTTGGATTTGTCCGGAGGCAACGCCGGCGCCGGCGGAGGCGGCCAGGGTGATTCTAGGGTCAAGAAGAAGAACGTAAGTTTTTTAATTCATCCTCCTTTGACTTACAAAACGATTAAATCCCAAAGATTTCAGGCTCTGGAATCTGGAAAAAAAACATCAAAAGTTTCTATTTTCGTAAATTTTCCGATTGCTCTGTTCCCCATTTCTTCAAAAATGCAGAATTTTCATGGAAAGAAGACATTTTTCTATATGGGTTTCGTCTTTAGCGCCTCCCTTGACCTCAAACATCAAATTTCTAAGACTTCACTGAAATCTGGAAAATAACATCAAAAGTTTCAACTTTTCCTGGACTTTCAGATTACGTTCTCCCCAATTTCATCAGCAATGCAGTATTTTGTTGGAGTTTCGCCCAAAGAATACATTTTTCCATCTGGGTTTTGTCGTTAACCTGATGGGTGATTTCTTATCTTTGGTAAATTCGCAGATTCATGGGATTTTGAACGCCGTGAGCTGGGGGATTCTTTTCCCAATCGGGGCTATAATTGCTAGGTACATAAAAACGTTTGAATCTGCAGATCCTGCCTGGTTTTACCTCCATGTGTTGTGCCAGTCCTCTGCTTACATCATCGGTGTCGCCGGTTGGGGCACTGGTCTCAAGCTCGGCAGCGAATCAAAGGGTATTACGTTTACAAACCATCGGAACATCGGCATTGCCCTCTTCGCCCTCGCTTCAATTCAGGTAACCGATTGTTTACTTGTCGCTGAAGAAACTGAAAAAACATGTCATGTGATTCTGTTTCAAGTAGATGTTGAAGTTCCATGATGGTTTTAGCTATCCAGCTCATGTTTCCTATCTCAAGACCGAAGCTTTTCGAAACCAGAAATGTCTCAGATTGCAGTTTGGCCCTTGAAAAAACCCGGGTTTTGTTCTGTTCTTGGCATTGAGTTGTTATCTTCTCTTCTAACAACTAAGAGCCCTTGTCTTTGTCTCTGTCTTTGTCTTTGTGTTACAGATGTTTGCATTGTTGCTGAGACCGAAGAAGGACCACAAATACAGATTCTATTGGAACATATACCACCACGGGATCGGATATTCGATCTTAATACTCGGAATCTTGAACGTTTTCAAAGGCCTCGGCATACTGAACCCCCGACAATCATACAAGACTGCTTTCGTCGTCGTTCTCTCCTGTTTGGGAGCCATTGCTTTGCTCCTTGAAGCTTTTACTTGGATCCTCGCCCTGAAGAGAAAATCGGGGAAACCCTCAAAACCCGAGATCGGTTGAGATCGAATTCTGGTAATCTAATGATCTACGAAAGAGATTTTTCATCTTATTATTGTAGCAAATGTCTTGTTTCAGAATCTCAAGAGTGTTTGTTTCATATGTAATGGCGCTTTTTGGTACTTTGATTTGTATGATTGTGTTGTCGCCATTGCAGCTCTCTTATGTATATAAGAAACTCATATTGTTGTTCTTCTTGACTTTTGTGTCTTTTGTTTTTTTTTTTTGGTTCCTTGGTTTTTATTCATTGAGATCTTGTAGGAAAATTCTAATTTAGGTTATGGATCTTATGAATGGTGATATTTTTTTTTTTTGGGTTTTTGGTTTTACTTTTTATAATTTTTATAAAACATAAAAATCTAAAAAATGGATTTATGATTTTTATTTGATTTTTGCAATGAAATGATTTACTGGGAGGGTTTAGGAGAAGCAAATATACAAAATTTTGATTGGATTATTAAATTTCAAAATTCGGAAAACTCTATCTATTCAATGGTTCTATTGTTTGCTCCTCCATTTTCTTTTTTTTTTTCATTATTATTAAAATGTGCAATGTTATATCAGAATCATGATTAAATTGCTATCTATAATTTATAACCAATCATTCATTTGGATATAACTGTGGATATCTGGATTAACATAATCAAACAGTTAGATTAAACAAAATTAAAAACAGATTTAAAATAAAATACAAAAATATAATATAAAATACATATATATATATATATATAATTTTTAAAATGAAAATAATTATCCTATATTTCGCATCATGTGGTGACATCAAAATGCGTCCACTCCACCACCTTCCTTCATACACGAATTTAAAATGTGCAAAGCTAACATAATTTGTGTTTTTTAAAAAAAAAGATATATTATATTCTTCTTATGTTTGTATTTTTTTCTTTTAATATAAAGCATAAATATGTTTGCTTAACTGGAAATAATGTGGTCTTCGTTTTTTAAATGTTTACATTTTTTTCCTATTTCCACACAATCATTTACCATGTTTTGATAAACTGATGTAGTTGCTTGCATAAATTAGTAAAATTTAAATTATCATTAAAAAAATTGGATTGTATATTAGACCATATAAAACATACATTGTATCCACACATTGAGATTTAAGAGGGTATTTCTTCCTAATTAATATAATATGTTCTATTGCTTACAATTAATTTATATAAAAATAGTAATCACATAATAAAATGTGTTTTGTAATGAATTTCGATATATACGATTCCAAATTTTTTTTTGAAAAAGGGAAATAGATTCTTTATTCACAAATTCTAAGGAAAAAAAACCATATGATCCTTCTAACTCGAGCAAAAATACTTAGAGCTTAGGAAGCTTTAATAATAATGGACGACCAAACCCAACAGTTTGTGGACGAGTGGTCAGAAGCTGAGTGCAAAGCACTCAGAGGTTGGCAGTTTGATTCCTGATTGGGGAGGAGTTTTCACATGGACTGTCCGGTTCTCTACTAGATGTAGTTGGGCCAAAGGCCCGATGAATTTATGGATTATAAAAAAAAAACAAATAATGGACGACCACAAAAACAGAAAAAATATGTTACATATTTTCAATCGAAGATAATATATAAATTTTTTTTATTTATATAATCTATTCGACCGAGATGTATGCGGTCCGGATTTTCAGCGTTCAAACTTTAATTCTATATAGAAATATTATACGATTCCATAAACAATCTGTTTTTAACAATGAAAAATAGTGAAAATAGTGAAAACAAATAAATTTTTTTAAAAAAAGTACAGTTGTACAGTTTTTTTAAATTAGATTAGTTTTTAGCATTTTAAAATGTTTTTAAAACATATCACAATAATGTTTTCGGAATAAAATTGTTCAAGCAAATTAATTTATAAAAAAAATATCAAAAGATTTCATTGGATGGTACATAAAGCTAATTTTCACCTAAAATAAATTTTGCCGATAATTCTATACATATATATATATATATATATAAATTGTTTTTAAGCTAATTTCATAATATATAACCAAAAAAGGGAAATAGTGGCGTCTCGGGTGGAACATGAAGAAACAAAAATGTCAAGCAACTTAAATGCAAAGGACTAAAAGCGAGTCAAAAGTGTTAGAGACTGATTGGACCGACCGAGGAAAATTATATGAATTGTAATTTCATATTTTAGTTGATTGAGATTTCTGCTTTACAAACTAAATGTGAAACATTTAAAAGAGAGAAAAAGTTAATGACCCTTTAGAAAATTGTATGTTTTTGTGTTTCCGATAGTGGTCTTTGATTATAGGCTTCGAATCAGGAAT